TCAGATCTCTGGAGGTCACCATATTGAAATAAATTGTGGAATTATCTTTCTTTCTGTCTCTTTCAATTTTGCTTTAGGGTACTAACATAGAGATCTTTAGTTATAAACCAACTCCTCTCAACTCAAAAACTTTGGACAAAATTCGACCAGTGCTGGATTACAGATGCATGGTATCTGGAAGTGAGCAGAAGTTCCTTCTGTCATTAGGGGTATGTGATAATTAAATATATTGGTTAATACCAGTAGGTGAAATAGTATATTTTAAGTAAGATGGAATTTGTTTAGATTTTATATATTTTTCTTTCTGGTTGTCCAGGGGGTCACCGGGAGTCAACAGCCAAAACGAACAAAAAGTTATCAAGATGATAGTTTGACCAGTGGATTCTCCTTGTCATTGTGGAGATAAATGAAAACTGTGTTTCATAATTTGATGAAATACATCTGCTCATTTCATCAACATTTGGTTGCAATAATTAATATTTCTTATGTGAAATTAAATCTCACATTTTTGGGAATAGTTAGAGAGGCTTGTTAAGTAAACCGAAAACTGTTTATTCTCTTTTGTAATAACATCTGTTTCATATCCATCTTAAAACATTTTCCTAGTTTGGATGCACATTTCTCTCACCTGTTATACTACAAACTGTTTGAGAGCATGTAGTTTCTTCAGCGGACTGCTTCTCTCTCTAATCTGTCTGCCTCCTTTTTTGCTTATACGCAGAAGTCTCAGATATATACGTGGCTTGGTCGCCAATCAGATCGCTGGACCAAACTGGACTTGAAGATAGAACTGCCACGGGATACACTTCTTTCTGTGGAAATTGTTCCTGAGCTGAAAGGAGAGGTCGATGACCTTCAGAAATTTTTTCTTTCGAGAATGTTTTTGGCTTGTTTCCTTCCCGGAATAGTGTGATGGATGAAAAGATAGAGGAGAGAGAGCAAAGGCATAGTCCCTAACCAATCTTTCTGCTGGCCCATTTATAACCACTGTGCAGCTCTCAGTAAAGTGTCCCTCAGGAGATCTAGCCCTTGACGGAAAAAAAGATCCCTTATGTTTGGCTAGGAGTTTCTCAACCTCAGCAGCTTTAAGATGCATAGACTGCAATTCCAGCGTGCTAGCAAGGAACTAAGGGAGTTGCTGAGGTTGAGAAACATTGGCTGAAAGATTAACTGTGGCCACAATAGCAAAAAATGACAGTATTTCCGATATTTTGATGTAGGGAAAACATCCATAAAGCCTGTATTATAATCCCTAAAGTAAGCATCACATAGTTGAAAAGCAGAGGGAGTCTCGGAGAAAAACTCCATAATGTTTCTTATCGCTGGGCCAAAGGGGTGGTTGAAGTGTTGACCCAGTGGCTGGAGGCTGAAAAGATTCAGATTGCACATTTCTAAGACAGAGTGGTTTTTCATTTGCAGGCATGATAATTCCAGAGAAATAACTTCATTGATTCTTACGCTTGTTTGTAAATCCAAAGCCACGCCATAAAATAAAACATCAATAAAAAGGAAAAAAAAGAAAAAAAAAGAATATATAAAAGCCAGTCAGAAGATAAATTACTTTCAACCTCAAGGCTCATAGAAGATAGTGGGGAGAAATTGATAGGGGCATCTTTTGATTAAAAATTCCGCTATTTAATCTTACTGAAATAAACAATCAGATTGAATGCAAGTAGACCTCACTTAGCAATAGGCTCATACAGCAACTGTTTGCAGTTATGACAGTGATGAAAAAATAACTTTATGACCAATCCTTGCATTTATGACTTTTGCAGGTCTGTAAAGGAAAAAAAAACCTGAAGTAAGATTAAGCATTGTTACGGTTTCACTTAATGACTGAATTTCTGATCCTAACTTACTGCATTCTATTCTGAGTATCTTCCAGTTGAACTAAAGCGTCTCCATCACTCTGCCTGAAAATCTGCATATTGATCCAAACTGGAAAACACTAAATTTTAGATTCACCCACCTACAGTTTGTTGAAAAAGTGAGATGGGCGGCATCTACATTTAGTAAACTGTGGTCACTCATGAGGACTACTGTTATAGGCAGACATGCCCATTTTTTTTTGCAAAGAGTAGCACTCTAAGATGTTCCTAATTCCCTTCCTTTCTAGGGCAAAGCCCAGCGAAAAATCAATGCCATTCACATCCTGGATGCTTTGGTGCTGAATGGCAGTGATGTTAGAGAACAGCATTTCAATCAGCGGTAAGTAGAGTTAGGGTAGGCTGTTGCATAAATATATTTGTGGGATAGTGGGGCTCCTTTTAACTTTTCATCTGCACTGTTCAAGACAATTCTTCAGATCAATATTAGAAGCAAACCTTAGTGTTTTCTTTCTGTCCATTTTATCAAAGGAGACATGCCTGTAGGAAAGAAGACTAAGTAACAACTAATCACCTTTCTTCAAAAAGAGGCTTGAATTATTAAATCCAATCATTTTTTAATGTTTGTTTTGGGAATATCTGCCCAGCAGACACTGCAGAAAATTCTCATATAAGTTCTACTAATTGTTGTTTCCAATACTGTAACCATGTATAAATCTCTCTTTTTGATTGCAGAATTCAGATGGCAGAAAAGTTTGTGAAAGCTGTCTCTAAACCTAGCCGCCCAGATATGAGCCCCATCAGGTGAACAAGTCCTCTTGGATTTTTCTTGGCTTTGAGATTATGAGGATGAAATATAATGGATAGAATTTTGACATGCTCTATTACCACTGAATAATGACAAAGGCTACAGGTGGGGTTGGCCTTCTGAGAAGGCTTTTTCAGTTCACTTTGGGAGGACTTTCTCACATTGGAAATAAACTTTTTACTCCTGGAAGAAAAAGCATATTTGGTGTAGAGGTTAAAACATCAGGCTAGAAACTGGGTGAGTTTTAGTCCCACCTTAGGCACAAAGTCAGCTGTGTGACCTTGGGCCAGTCCCTCTCTCTCAGCCCCAGGAAGCAGGCAGTGGCAAACTACTTCTGAAAAATCTTTGCCAAGGACACTACAGGGATGCGTCAAGGCACTTGCAGCAGTGCACACTGGCTCCAAGGCATCTCCCCCAAAACCAAGCCCGTTTATGATTTTTATTTAGCATATATTGTATAACTCTGGAACAGACTTTCAAAAAGCCAGCTTTAATTTTCTCTACATGGATAATTCTGCATTTTGCTGATTTAGCAACAATTTATGGCAAGGTTAACTTTGTTTCATGCTCAGCAGAATTGTTTGACTTTGCTATCTGGAATTTCCAAATGGATGGGTGTTGTTGCAGTCCAGCCATGTTTAGATCTATAGATTCAATTCTATAATGATCTTGAGAGTGAAACAATATTTAAAAACTATATGCAGTTATGCTTTGTGGTATACTATCTATTGTTTTTTAGTCTTTCAATCTTTTCTCTTGAATCACGAAGGCCACAGTTTCTCATTTTCTGTGGGGTCATCATATACTTAAAGGACAAGGTATTGAAAATACTCAGCAAAAGTTCCGTAGCTTCTTCCCAACTCTCTCTAGAAGGGCCTTATAGGAAGTTTAGAGCCTACATATCCAGCTTACTGATTTTTTCCCACAGAGTGAAGGAAGTGTACAGGCTAGAGGATATGGAAAAGATCTTTCTCAGGTAAGTTCTCAGATTTTTTTTAAAAAAATAGTTTAATTTGCAGATTGAAAACTCAGAATTCTGCTACTGTTTGGGAAAGCAGTATTATTAAGTTCTGATTGATCAGCTTGTAGAAAAAAATGTATAGACTGTATATTGGAAGGAAAATCGCTTATTCCTTGTTGCCAAATCATTAGGGTTAAAAAAAACCAGCTGCAGTTTAATATGAAGATATCACTTTTGCCTAAAACAAGAGTGGGATAGATGCTTACCTATTGAAAAAAATGCTTTAAAAAAAAAAAGCAGTGTAACTGTATGCAGTCATAGTTAGGGCTAAAAATATTTCATCAATATTCCTCATCACTTTATGTCTTGTAAGTTATGAATTTCCTTTATGGCAGAGATTCATGGAAGAATTTGACCTTAGCTCCCCTCAACAGTTTTTATGCTTATTATACTTTATAATATTCTGAGTCCCTCAATACCTCATTCAAAGCCTTTGCAGGCATTTTGCCAACCTCCGATGAATGTAATGGCCTCAAGGTTCTACCAACCCCTGGAAATGGATGAGAAAGTTATTTCCTCAAACTTCACACTTCAAATTATTTTTATTAGCTCTGCAGTTCTGGAGACTTGAGAATACCCAGCCAGCAGCCATGTTTATCACAGGGTTTCATGTTGAAGTTGGAAGGTGCACTATAATATTAGGGACAGGACTCCAATAGTAATAGCAATAGCACTTAGACTTACATACCGCTTCACAGTGCTTTAAAGCCCTCTCTAAACAGTTTACAGAGTCAGCATATTGCCCCCAACAATCTGGGTCCTCATTTTACCGACCTCGTAAGGATGGAAGCCTGAGTCAACCTTGAGCCGATCAGAATTGAACTGCCGAACTGCTGGCAGCTGGCAGTCAGAAGAAGTAACCTGTAGTACTGCACTCTAACCACTGTGCCACCATGGCTGTTAATTCTTGGAAGACAGTAGAGTTCTACATTTTTTAAAAAAGGGTACCAAGCTTCATCCAAACACTGTGATCTAAACATCTTATGATTTCTTCATCTTTACAGCATCTGTCTGAGATAAATCATTATTTCTGATAGAGAGATAAGGTGTTGTATTGATTTGGCCAACACTGAATTTGTATTGAACAAGAATTTAAACTAGATCTCTTTGTCCAAGTCCTCTTTACCTGCTAGCAAGTCATATTGATTCTCAGAGCTTCTATGATTATTTCTCATTCTTATTCTTTCTCTCTCTCTCTCTTCATATGTTTGGCAATTTAGGTTAGAGATGAAGGTTATCAAGAGTTCAGGTGGAATTCCACGGCTATCCTACACCGGTCGTGATGACAGGCATTTTGTACCTTTTGGATTGTACATCGTTCGGACTGTCAGCGGTAAATCAATTTCTAGCCATATCTGATATAATAGTTAAGCCTAAGGCCTGGAATTTAAGTACTGTAGTTGGGTCAATGTCACTTTTGTGTGTGTGTGTGTGTGGGGGGGGATGTTGAGAAAATTAAGTAAGGACACTTTTTATTATTATTTCTTTGTAGAATGAGAAAAAACAAAGATTTTTTTTCCTTCTTGATTTGTTGCCCCCTTGTTATGTTTTAATCTCTTCTTCCTAGCTGAGGTGGTAGAAAACGCATAGAAAATGGTAGGGGCCAAAGGAGAGCTTGTTGGATTCTTCTGTTTGTTTTCTTGAAAAGAACTTTAAAATGCTGAAAGAAGATTGCTGTAATTAGCTTCTTTATATGCTATTTGTGTTCCTTACCAGCCATCATTAACAACTAGCACAAAACCACCTCACAACCTTTTTAGTTCAAAGCAGGGTTACTTATGAATTTAAAAAAATACAGTACACTTAATTCTTGAAGTATTTGGAAGTATAAGATGTTCCTCCCAGCACATTTTAATTATATTTTGAGTCACTCCAATGATTTTATCCTAAGTCTCTTTTAACAATATTTATTTGATTTATAAGGCCACCAATTTACTGAGCTACTCCGGTCAACTTACAATGGGTAGTTATTATATATGAAAAAAAATTGAATGCTAACTAATCAACTGGCAATACCTGGCGAAGAGTCAAGGCATGTCTGCTAGGTTGTACTAGATAACTTTGTTTTGTATAAGGGACCCAAAGTATGCTTATTCTATTCGATCTGTTGGGAGTGGCAGAGATAACTGGAGATGGGCAATCTTGTAGATAACCTGATCCTGTGCTATGAAAGGTATTACGGACAATAATCAGCATCTTGGAAGTTTATGGAAAGTCAGCGCAGCTCACAAAGTAGTGGTATTATATGAGCATACCAAACTTACAACTACTTACATTGCTGCACTGGACCAATTGTTCTGGGTGGCTTTCAAGGGCAACCCCATGTAGAGTGCATTGTAGTAGTCCAAATGGAAGGTGACCAAAGTATGAGTAATTGTGATTAGAAACTCCTGATCCATGAATGGATACAAGAGAGTGCTCCAGTGGTAAAGCAGTTCTATCTGCATGCAAGCAATTCTACCCAGGATTAAAAACAAGGAATTCTTGGGGTCAGGGGGCCTGAAACTTACAGCCAATTTTGCTATGGTTGAACTGAAATCTTTTTGTCCACCATCCTCTCTGTGAATAGAATTATTTTATTTTTTGAAATGGTAATCATTGTGAAATATACAAGTTACCCATTTGAGAAAGGAAGCCAGCAGAGAAGATTGCAGATGGCAATCACATGATTGCGGGGCACTTGGCATCTGGTTGTAAGAGTGAATAAGTTACCAAACAACCAGACTATGATCACATTGGGGTGTGGATAATGGGACAGCGTGACATTTTACAATAGCCTTTCCTAGACTGTCATAATTTTAAACAGTTGTTAAATGACTTGTCATAATTTGAGGACTACCTGCAGTTCAACAGAATTCTTTGTTAGCATAAACATTGCATCCTAGTTGGTCCTGTGCATGCATGGATAGTTCCTACAGATTTCCTCTATGTGATTATTGTGTGGTTGCTGTTCCATGGAAATTACCTGTTTGTCTATTTTGATGTTCTTATACTGTATTAGCCAAACAATCGTTTATATGTTAAGTCTTTTGCTGAGAATGGTACAAAGGAACAATACAATTAGAAATTTTGATGTGTCTCTTTCTCTTTTGTTTTTGATTTAATCTTCTTGGTTTTCTTCAAAGAGCCCTGGACAATGGCACGCAGCAAAACCTGTAACAGAAAATTTTTCTTCAATAAGGCAACACAGCATGCCACGTACCAACTGCCCCCAGAGTCTGTAGCACCATTTCAGTGAGTATTGAATTTGCAAATAGTAGCAATTCATCCAGGAGGGGGAAGCTAGATACAGTGTCACATTAGAATTTTTTATTTATTTATTTTCCCTTCTGTTCTGTAATGTTTGTACTAATTTCTAAAAACAATGAAAGCAAATAAAAACCCCATTAGACAATTCTGAACCAATATGCTTTCCAAGGCATTGTATTCCTTATCGACCGAATTTGTTTTGTCTGATAAGTCCTGGTGAGATATTTTAGATTCCGGCACAGATGCCTACTTGGATCCTGCTTCTTGTCAGCTTTCATCCTTTTATGATAGGAAAAAAAGGTGAAACAGAATTCACATGGGGATTGGGGTAATTTATTTCTCACAAAAATTGCACATTAAATGTAATTTAGATTAATTTATATAACAAGAGTTTTCATAGGCACCTTATAGTCATAACGTTTCTTTAGCTTCTTCAAAGAATGATGAGTCTTAGGTTCTTATTGAAATTGGCAAAACTTTACAAGGTAGAAATATTAGCATTTAAAGAATGGGAAACCAGAAATTGATTTCCAAGTGTAGGAATAGTCCAAGAGAAGACAATTGTATCAGCACTTCTGGCAGTGGTTGGGAATTCTGGATGCTTATAATATCTTTAAATAGCAAATAAAAATATGTACATTATATAAACCAAAAGTAGAGACATGCATTATTAATTCATTATTCCAAGCAGAAGCATTTGTTTCTGTACTGGGTCCTGCAACTAACCTGCTGGTCAAAGAGAATGAGTTGTGAATTTGAAGTCCTCAGACTTTAAGGGAGAAGTAAGAAGACAGTTCATTATTGTTCATTTCTAATTTCTTAAACCAGCTGTAGCAAATTTCTTTGGTTTACAAGTCCAGATGCTAGTTTGTTACATATTTTACCACCTATTGCATTTGCTGTTTGCGTTTGCATCAGCTGTTTTTAGTTAAACTCTTTATATCATTTATAAATAAACTCCATTTATATTTTGTTTGTAATTTATAATGGGCTTACATTATATTTTAATTCATAGCTCTTTCCTTACTTCTTTCCTATGCTTTTACAATCATTCTTCCTATCAAAGAACCATCTTGGATATCTGAGCTTTTTTTGTAGTTGTAAATGACTTTCTGCATCTGATGACACATTAAAGATATTTTGCAGACAACATTGTGAAGTACAGATTGTTTTACAGCTTGCGCATAAATAAATTCTGCAGATTGTCTTGTTCAGTCTATATTTTGGAAATGGATATGGGATGTCTCTTTCCCTGCTTCATTAAGCTAAATTCATCATTTCATTGGGAGAAACTTTTTTTTAGAAAAATCTCTTCCCTTGATCAGTACTTGAGAGGCCACAATTCTATCAAAGATATGAACATTCCAACAACCAATCTCATCCTTTATGATCTTAAATTTGTGGAATTTCTGTAGCCTTCAGTCAGCTGTGATCATTTTCCTTCACAATCTTTCTGTTTTGTATTTTTGGAAAAACTTGTTTTGATTTACTTGCCTGAGGTTCTTTTGAGATGACAGTCTTTGATCTTTTGGACTTCTTTTAAATTTCCAACAGCTTTCTGTAAGAAGTGTGCTCAACCATTCACTTTCCTCTGCCAAGCATTTGTGTCATAAAGGAAGGCTGAATTTTTGAATTTTTCCTGTCAGCTGGAGATGTACAAAAATATTTCTCAGAGATGCTTCTCTCATTCATAGCTTTTTGATGAAACTTTGTCTGTTTCTCTGTATTATCTTTCTTCCATTTTCTCACTCTGTAACTTTGGGCTTTTCCCTGAATTTATCATGTGAATTTCTGTAAGAACTTAAGAAGAACTTTTTTTTCTCAATTTTCTCAAAATAGTTTAAACAATTTTACTAGCGCCTACTTTGTAATTTTTCTCATCTCTTTCCAACCAATCTTTGTCATTCTGCCCACTTTCGTATGCCATGCCAGGGGCAAGAAATCTTTTAGTTGATATTTACACTTTTGATATTTTGAGAACATAGTAACAACAACAACAACAATAACGTTGGAAGGGACTTTGGAGGTCCTCTAGTCCAACCCCCCCCCCGCTCAGGCAGGAAATCGTATATCATTTCAGACAAATGGCTGTACAGTCTCTTCTTAAAACTTCCAGTGTTGGAGCATTCACAACTTCTGGAGGCAGGTTGTTCCATGGTTAATTATTCTAACTGTCAGGAAGTTTCTTCTTAGTTCTAGGTTGCTTCTCTCTCTGGTTAGTTTCCATCCATTGCTTCTTGTCTTGCCTTCAGATGCTTTGGAGAATAACTTGACTCCCTCTTCTTTGTGGCAGCCTCTGAAATATTGGAACACTGCTATCATGTCCCCCCTCGTCCTTCTCTTCATTAAAGTAGACATACCCAATTCCAGCAACCGTTCTTTATACATTTTAGCCTCCAGTCCCCTAATCATCTTTGTTGCTCTTCTCTGTACTCTTTCTAGAGACTCAACATCTTTTTTACATCGTGGTGACCAAAACTGGATGCAGTATTCCAAGTGTGGCCTTACCAAGGCATTGTAAAGTGGTGTTAACACTTCACGTGGTGAAAGCGCACTTCTAAAATTGCTATTATTTGGAATGGGAGTGGAAATAGGTTGCCATCATGATTATGGATATTCACAAAACTTTCACTTATTTACCATCTTGTTTCCTGCTATCACTTCTAGGTTTTCATCATGCTTTTTATTATGTAGAAATTGTGCTTTCAAACAGAACAGTGAGATGCAGCTGCCCCCCTTTTTTATTTACAGATTCAGATGCACTTTTTTCAAGAAACATGATCCTAAATATTAATGCTTATCTTTGCAGTATTGCAGCTACCCATTTTTTAAATTAAAAGAATATTGAAAAAAAAAACATTTAAAGGAGTAACTGGATGGATGGAAGGGTAGCATAGTAAATATTTCATTCTTATTTTAGTTTCTCTTTTTAATGAAGATGAATACAGTGCTCGCATCCAAGACTGCCAAGATTTGTGAAATGCCTGATTTGTTTATAGCTTTCCTCCTCTTTTAGTGATGAATTTTGACAGATACTGTGAATCCTTTGAGCCTCTTTTCTTTGCTCTCTAAGTGCAGTAAATAGTGTTTTGTACAAACTTTCCTCTTTCTTTTATCATCACACTGAATACTTTTTCTGATAGTACTTTGCTAGGAAAAGGAAGCTTCTTCAGTCCTGGTATTTTTTGAATTATTCTGAGGGTGATTTTAGTAATGGATGCATTTGTTTACCATGTGAGCTTTAGTGTGTTTATAATTAGACACTGTTATATGTTCGTGACACAATGTTTTGAATCCAATAATCAATCTCTTAAAACACTGTAAATAAATAGACTGTGAATATTAAATGCTAGTAATTGTTGGACCTGGCTGTTACATTTCTTGTTATGAGGTGCTTGGTTTTTATCAATTTGACAGCAGTCTCAAATCAAGAAGAGAATTTGAGATCTGGAGTATTTATTCAGTAAGATGATTTAAAATAAGAGATAGGTGTGCATGCATGAGCACACACATGTTGAAATATGTATCAAAGTTGTGCATTTACACAGTTTCTTTTATCTAGAAAATTGCTATAGTTCCTACTGCATTTATTTTGTCAGATCTTTCTATGTGAACCATTTTTATATATTCTTGTGAATTTGCTTAATTTCCCTTGCCAGATACTTTAAAATTCTCAATTTCTGTGTTTGGGCTATCATCCCATCCATCTATGTTCTGACTTGATATACAAATAAAACAGTTTCTGGTATTTTATCTTTTTTGTCTAGGTTAGGGTGCCTTTGTAGTAGCAGTTCTTCTGATTGCAGAATATTTGATCTACGTGAAGTTAGACGTTTAATTAAAGGTGCTTGATGGAGTAAAGACGAAAATTTCTCCACATTTGATTAGATGCTGACTGCTCTGAGTCAGCAAATCCATCTTAAAATAGACATTTCCACTTTGCAGTTGAGGGCAGATTTCCCCTCCCTCCTCTGCTCACTGTGGACTTTCATGGGGAAATGTAAAGATAATGCCACAAAATAAATTATTGAATCGAGTCAATCTAATTGTGTGAAGCACTAGAACAGTGTTTCTCAACCTTGACAATTTTAAGGCATGTGGACTTCAACTCCCAGAATTCCACAGCCAGCAATGCTGGCTGTGGAATTCTGGGAATTGAAGTCCACATGCCTTAAAATTGTCAAGGTTGAGAAACACTGCACTAGAAAGTAAGACTGTGGACCGCCTGAACATTTCCTTTGGAGATGCTGGAAAGGCCCTGCTGTAGGTAATGCAACCTAACGTAATTTCTAGCCATCCTTCTGATTGTTTCGTCTCCCAGCCCTTGGTTTTTAGAGTTGGTTGCTGTGTCCATAAAGGCTGACGAGGTGAGGGTTTCATAAGTTCCTCAGATTACTGTTTCCTTTATTTCAGAGACTACTGTCTGCCATACATTTGTATGTATTCAGGTTTTTTAAAAAAAGAATAAAAATAATATGAATAATCCATAAACTGTCTCTCCCATTTTTCTTTCTTTTCCTTTACTGTCATTAATCCATTATAGTTGCTTAGGAACAAGTTGATTAAGTTTAGGGATTGTCTTGGTCTTAATAACATCAATTTAGCAGACTAACCAAATGTCAGACTAAGAAATAATCTCATTTGTGAAGTTATACACAGAATTTCCACTCTTTTGATATTTTTCAGATTTAAAAATGGCTAGATGTGAGGAGTCTTTGGTGCTCTCTGAGCTTGCTTGTTTTCTTTCAGACGTTTCATTACCCAAACTAGGCAATATCATCAGAGCACTGATGATGTTACTTAGTTTGAGTAATGAAACATCTGCAAGAAAACAAGCAAGCTCAGAGAGCATCAAAGACCCCTCATGTCAACTCTGAGCTACAACTATTCTCCTTTATTAGTAT